TTTCGTTTTCCAGTTAAAAAAGGAGAAGGAAATCAAGCTGGGATGGCCGAGTGGGTTTAAGGCGGTTGGGACTTGAAATCAATGGGGTATTCCGCGCAGTTCGAACCCTGCTCACAGCGATGGCTCCCTTTATGTTTTGGTTTTATGTCCAATACCACTCAAAGACGCAAGTTCCTTGTTTAAGTTCAAGGCTTGTTGGGGTGAGCTTATTTCGCTCCCCAAACAATTCATTATGGGTCATCAAGCCAGCCAGCCAGCCAGCCAGCCAAGCAACTGAAGAATGTATTGCCCAGTGTTTTTACAAACCTTCCTTTGCTGAAACTGGTTTAATCTTACCTAATCACCCAAGCCAATAACTGGCTCCACCTAATCCCTTGACTCTGGTGGGCACGCCGATGTGGATGTGGGGTATTTTCACTGAAGTGCCATTGGTGAAACCACCAAGATGCCCACTCTGGGATCTGCAGGTACAGGAAGTCATTGACTTTGACTGCCAAGTAAAACTTGGTCAGGAGGGACTAACCTTCAGTGCATTAGGTGTATAACACTGTCTGTAGCTGAGGTGTTGAGTCTTTTAGATCAAGACAGAACAGCTCCAGTTACCTGCCGCAAGCAGTGGTTTAAGCATTCATCCTGGGACACCCACTTTTTGCACGTTCAAACCCTGCTCTCAGTGATAAAAAGCTCTTTTAGGAAGTTTAATCTTTTTGACAATGAATGAAGTCAATGGCTCTTTGTACTTGTTGTATTGACAGTTCAGAGCTCCATGGTTCAACCAATGACAACATAAAGAGGAGCCTATTGGGGATCCTTCCAAGATACTGTAAACGCTGTGAGCAGGCGTTTGGAAACCTGCGCGGGGAACCCCATTGGATTTCAAGTCCAACGCCTTAATTAACCACTCGGCCATCACAGCTTAGTGCGAAATTGCCACACACTTACAACTCACCGAATTGCGTTCATTCAGTATGTATGAATTGCTACGGCCATATTGTATGACTTTAATGCACACGTTTTTACAGGTTTGCAACAGCTGTGATGGTGTTGTGTAAGGTGTTGGACTCGAAATCCAATGAGGTATTCCTGCGCAGGTTTAAACCCTGCTCACAGTGTGGAAAGGTTAAAGTTGAAACGTTTGAGAGATTAGAGAGAATCCAATAACAATGGGCATGTTGTCAATGCTTTGTCTTCTAATCCTAACACAACCAACTTTGTAAGCATTGAACATTTTTGATGAAGTCAGAATAAAGGAATATATCTACCTTGCACTTGAAAAGTATGAGCTGGGAAGCCCAAGTGGGTAAGTATAGTTGCTTGATAGGCTGGGTTTAGCTTTGCTAAAGGTGGAAACAAAAGATCCAATCAAACTTGGAAATTTTCATTGCAGCACCTTCAGAGGTTACAAACAAAGAAGAATCTGTGACAGGAAACCATTTACAATGCCAACAATCCTGAGGCAGCTTCAGACCCATTCACACTTTGAATCAGGTGACTCTAACGACTGTCACTTCACAGCCAGATGGACTAGCAACCACAGTCCTTTGATGATGGTCCTTTGGTTTGAGATGTATCTCTGGCAAAACTCTGCAGTTAAAGGGTTAGCCATTGTTTTTCTTCAGATTTTCAGAATTCACAATAAAATGATGCAGCAAATTAACTATTTTACCTGAATCATGTTTGCAACAAGTGTTTTTAGCCCAGGGTTAACTCTGCCAAAAGATGCGAGATTCACAATCTTCTGTACGTGTCAAAATTAATAAAATGCTGAATATCCTTTGGGTATAGAGAATGGATGTTTCGTAATCTTCTCTTTCAATGAACACTGCTTGAGATTTTATTTGATTGTGCTTTCTGGCTCTCTCACAAAGTGTGATTACCAAGTGGACTAAATTTTTAAACCCTGCTCCTTCATCTTGGAGTAAATCTAAGGGATGTAAAGAAGGATCTGTGAAGAGGACCTGAGCCAACACATGACCTAATTCCTTGTCAGAAGAGGAAACATTGAATCAACTCCTTTTTTTCAGCTCACAAAGGATCTGAGATAATGTAGACTACAGTTTACAAACTCAACATAAAAAGAAAAACCTTCCCTCTTACCCTTTTATCTTTCATCTCTGAGAAAAATGTGCTCTGACAATGCCACACTTGGAGCTTTGATCACCTCTCTGTAGGTGTGTGGGCGGGTTGAGAAAACAAATAGCTGACAGCACATTCAAGTGAGCTGACAAACACCTAAACATGTGCACGTTATGTTCACACAAACACATGCCCTTACACCCACAAGTACACAGACAATCACAACTGGGATTAACAGACCAAAGTGAATAAAAATAACACTAGTTGCTTGTAAATTGCAAACACATTGAACACAGCAGACTATTCTTCCTAGAAATTATGTTTGTTTTGGACAATGCTGCCGCACAATTTAGATACAATGGGGGGAAAATACTTACAAAGCCCCTACATGTAAATTTTTACATGATTATTGTAATTTCCAACATAGTTCAAACCCTGAGAAATTCTGTAATTTTGTTCACCTGACACTACGTTTCTTACTTGCTTATGTCTGCATCCCATGTGACATAATTTATATGCTGATTCAGCTGTGATAGAGAAGCAGTGAGACTTGAGAGAAGTGGGAATGAATGAGGACTAACAGCAAATCCAACAGCTCGAATCAAGCGACATCTTGACAACAGCAGCGTTGTTTAAGATTCGATGCTTAAGATCAGAAGAATCTGATTGTTGTGGAACAGAAAATATGTTTTTATGCTGATGAGTTCCAACATGATGGCCGAGTGGTTAAGGCATTGGATTTGAAATCCAATGGGGTTTCCTTCAAATCCTGCTCACAGCGATGAAGCGTCCCTCAGCTATCTGTGAATGCATATGCTGAGGAAGTCATAATGAATCTGAAGGTTTCAGAACAACCAGCAAGAGTAAAGATTTAGTTAACTTATTTCAACACAGTCTTCTAACTTCACTAAAACAAATACTGGTGGACTTATTGATACAATCGATGATTTAACAGTAACTTAAGTAATTAACTGGCTACAAACTCTCTCCTCTTCCTCCATTTCATACCTCTCCTGATGCTGAGTAAGAATCCTGGTTAGAACCGCTGGAAATCAGCCGGCCTCCATTGAAGCTGTGAGCTGCTGGGTCCTCCAGCTCCTACACTAGTAGTGTTTAAACTCCCTGTTCTTTGAGCTCCCAGCCCAGATACACACAGTTAATGGGACCAGTAGCAGCAGCTAGTACATGCATATGCATATATCACTGGTAAGCGACCCAAGAGAAAACGACTATCCGACTAATAAAAACTGTGTTGGCTAAGACTCAAACGATTAAGTCGACCATTAGGGGGCAGCCCTATTGTTTTCATTATTTTATAATTGCCTGAAAATAAGAATTGGTGTGTCATGTTTCTACAGTAGCCCAAAACAGACAACACTGAAATGAGGGGCAGTATTCAGTTGGTTGCAATCTACAAGTTCACCACTAGATGCAACTAAATTCTTTACACATGGATCGTTACAATAAAATAAAATAAATTCAAATTAAAACCTTTTTTAGACAAAACCACTAATCAATTAATCGATGGCACAAATATCTGTTAGTTGCATCCCTGAACCAGGTTAATATATGTTTTGTTACAATTGTCATGTAAATGGTTAATTCATAATCAGAATAACCATGTCATTACAATCTGTTGCTGTTTTCACATTGTTTCAATTGTTTGATCATTAATCAAAGTCTGTCTCAGTCATAGTTTTTAGCTGCTGTTGGGGCACCAGAGCCTAGACACCAGTAAATTCAGAGTCAGGATCTCGTCAGCTGCTTCGGATGCAACAGCGGTTTGTCTTGGACAACTGGAGATGCATAATCAAAATTTACATTGACACAAATGATTACCATCAATATCAGACTAAACCTGCCTTTAAAAAACATATAAGGGGAAACCCACTCAAGAAACTAACTGAAACTAAACTGAATTCAGAACAAAATGTAAAAAAATCTATAATAGTTCTGAGAATCACATCCACCTGAAAATGTTTTCCACTGTTAGGTACAGCCAGAAAAAAACACACAAACACATATTTTGTCATGCAAGTATGTCTAAAATCCACTATTTTATCAACGTTATCTAAACTTTAACTTTTTTCCAAACTCAGAGTCAACCACATCTGCATGTGTGCACCATTTTGCATACAGCTCTTATTTATTTATTGTCTATAATTTCATTGTTGCATTTGAGTGTTTGTGATTTTTTACCACAGATCAATGTCAAATATAATTTTCTTTCCCACGCAGTGAGAACAGACTACAAAGCTTTTCTAAGTCTAAATTTAGTTCAGTGCAGCAACTCATCAAATCACACTCCAGCAACAAAGCCAGCCAAAGCTTTGACGTCTGCTTTCAAACCATCAGACTGATGATCATTATTTGGAAATGAGTGATGAAATTATTGCTTGAAACATATGGTAATCTGCAATGAAATTGCAATGAGAGATAATAACAATGACAGCAATAATCTATGGCAGGCTGTTGACTGCTGACAATGGCCTCGTTTCAACCTTTAATACCCCCCGCCTGCTGCTTTACTGTCACTTTATCAGTTTGAAATATTAGGTTTCATTTGTCTCTAATTGTGGACTGTATGTGTTGTTGGTGAAACATTGTTTTATTTTTAATTTTGTTTATGCAACCGAGTTCTGGATAAAAGCTATGAGCGGTTAAATTTTATCTGTCACCAATAAAATGTGGCTTCCACTCATGGCGGCCAGTGGAAGAAGGATTGATTTAATTTGTAAAAGAAACTACTCACGGATGAGCGGCTTGTGCTCGTGATAGTGCAGGATGTTAACGTTAATGGTCGTCTTCCCTGGCTGAGACGTTACGTTAACTAGCTCACCTGGCACCATGGAGAGAGCGAACATTCAGCTACAGTTGGCGGGTTGGTTGGGTTCGATAGATAGAAAATAGTTCCTACATGAAACTGCTCACAGCAAGGTTTGTGGATTATCTTTTTGGTGCTTTGAGTACCTAAAGCCAAGTGCTATCTGGTTCCATTATATTATAGGAGGTAAATCTCCAAAACAATCTACGTTGGTAAAAAGCACTACAGGTAAGAGGAAAAATATGTACTTTTGATCTTAGGGTGAAGAGCCCCTTTCACTCATACAGCCACTAGAGCTCAGCTGACACTACAGTGAGAAGTCATTGCACATTTTAATGTAATTATTTAAATACATATATGGCTATATTTGATCAGACAATAAAACAATGTATCTCTTGTTATTCAAATGCACTGTTTTCATTCTCATAATAGTTATTCAACCTCGGGGAAGGACAAGTTAAATAAATGCATTCTTATTTTGCTCGTATGAGAATCCACTCACTGACTTTCACTATAACAAATCAACATTATATGAAGTAAAGGAAACTGTCCTTTTTCATTTTTTATGTGTGTGTGTTTAATATTTTGATCTCTCAATGTGATAGCTTAGGATGAAACAAATGTAATTTTGCTAAAAACTGATTGAAAATAGATTTTTTTTTTTAAACGCAGTTAATATCCTAACAGATAAGCATGTTGTCTGTCTGGTAGATTCAAACACCACTGGTTTTATCCCCCAGAGGATAAATGTGTGTGGACGGAATGAAAGAGTTGCACTTACCCCTCCTTTGTTACTACCCCCACTGAACTGCCCTTGAGCAAGGCTCTTTACCCCCTGACTGCACCAGTAAAGACAGTGGTGTCTGGTGGGTATTCAGCAATAATACTGCAGTTTACACACAAACGTAACTTGCGTATTTAACATTTCATGCCACTTTCTTTACATTAATCTGACAGCTTTAGTTACTTTACGGATTAAGACTTTACACTTAATTATAAGTGTAAAGGCTTATAAAATATGATGCACTGTTGTTTATGGTTTTAAATAATGTGCTTTGGTGTGTTGGCTCCAAATGTGTAGTTGTCTGTGCCCAGTTGGCGAACTACGAGTGTGTTAACGATACCGATTCAGTTCATACCCCAGCAAACTTTGTGGGTTAAAAAGTGAAACCTTGAAGACTAAATGTCATGGAAGAAAATGATCTCGAGCGTAAAAATAGTGCATAAAAGAGTCTAACGTAACTGCCTGAAGCCTGAAAGATGAGCACTGATACGCATCTGTGGTTATTTTTAGGTAGGAATCCTTATATACGCCGCATATCTGCATCCCTACACCTGTGAGTGAAGCTGCTGCTCGGTGGCTCATTGGCTTTGGAATAAAAAAATCCCAATAAAATGGGCACTTGAATTCCCTAGAAAATGGCCTCTTCAGTGGTGATCTCGTAACGATACAACTCACGATACTGGAGTTGATTTAATTCAATCAAAAATCTATATTTCTTTTTGTGAAGTGAAACAGATGTCCACATATTTGTGTCTCTCGATATATATTTTTACATTCCTAGTGGATGTAACTTTAAAATCCAACCACTAATTAAGATTGTGGATTTGGTAAACCTCCCTGGCTCTCACAGATTACTTAATGACGCTAAATCAGCAAGAAGGAGGATCTACGTGTCTAGTTTTATCATCTCACAGGAGAAACAATAAAAGTAAAATGCAGAAAATCTACAGATTTCTCCTTATAGTGTAACTATTTTACATATTCAGCTCTGTTGGGGATCAAAACTCAAACCTTGGCAGCGTTTAGCAGCACTTCCCTTCACACTGGGCTGCAGAGAAAATGGGACCCCTTAACTCTCGCAGAGTTAGTACCACACTTTACCCGCTGAGCATCCCTGCAATTAAGTTAAATGGCCACACAAACCATATTGCTAATGTTTTCATGAAGCCAGAGCCCCAGAGAAGTGTGGAGATTGCAGAATCCATCAGTGAAATTGCACACTGACATGCCCCACTAGGTTTGACTGCACGATGGAGCTCACTTATCCAAAAATGCATCCAATACACAGATATGTCCACAAAACGCGTGACATGTCATCAAAAACCTGACAGACCCATCACAGACAGCAGCTGTTTGTTCCATGTTGGAGAATCATAATCCTCACTGAAAGCGGGACGATCGAATGTTTTCTCCGACCAGATTTCACAGCCAGGAAACGACAGTTTGTTAATTTGACTGAAAAAAGCCGGCAGAAGGGGGGATTTTACAGCCTAATGGCAATTTGTTTTTTTACTGAAAGGCCGGCAATGACTTCATCCTGTCGTCTGCACACAGAGAACAATCCTTATTAACACAATAATTTCATAATGTGCTTGATGGACTTTGTCCAGTAATTCCCAACAGGGAGAGAGTTTAGTTTTCATGTAACAAAGTAGCTAAAATCATTTAAATTTCAACCCGAATCAGCAAAAGATTTTATTTATTTCAGTGCAGAATTAGGACCTGATTCACATTTTAAACATAAATGTTGTGCAATGGTTAGATTTAACTTAACGACTAGAAAGCTTTAACTTTTCCACCAAATTTGACCTTTTATGTTTAGCTTAGCATTACGCTACAAGGGTTGTTCTGTTGCATGAAGCTTCGGGAGCTCAGATTTGGTTCTTTTGCAAATGTAATTTCCAATTATCTAGCGAGGAGAGAGTGTGGCCGATGTGTTGCATTAGCATGGTGAGCTAATGGTCACTAATGGATGAATCGCCTGTTGTTCAGGTGTTTCACTGTGGACGGAGGTCTCCACTGAAGCAACCAGAAACTAACGTGGGTTATAAACACTGTTATATTCAGAGTAAACAGAGACACTTGAGAAAAAGATGCCACCTTCTGTTTGTAAAGTGACATCTGGCATTAAAGTACAGCTCATTGTCCGATACAGTGGAAGCATTAGCTAAGTGCGTTCTGGCCCTATAAAATATAAAATAGTGGGATTTGAGGAACTAAACTGAGTGATGATTTTCTGGAAGCATTTATTTTTCATGAAAAAAAAGGGGCAATGGGTCATTAATGAAAGTGGAATAGGCTTAGCGCACTTTGAATAACCATTGGATTTAATACAAAAAGCCATCATGGAGTAATCTGCAGCGTTTACTGAGGATTAGCATGTGGAGAACAATGCCAGTTTAATCCTAAAAAGGCCCAACTGTTGCCCAGACGACCGTAATTATGATTACAAGAGCGCACACCATGATGAGGCATTTCATTTGTGCACATACATGTGTGTGATGCAGACTAAATAGACAGTGAACGTACGCTGTTTTCAGATTTATAAGACTTTTGTTCCACCAGTTGAGCCTGTGAATGTGAAATATTAGCAGATATAAATCCACACTCACACTATTGTAAGATCAAAAATGGGATTTTATTGTTTATCGCTGCAGCAAAGATGATGCACATCAACTTTCTGTCACTTCTTCAAATTAAGTCCTCATTTGAATGTTGGAGTGCTTTTATTTTGTAGTTCTTGGATGTAAATTGTGGTTCTTTTACTGCTTCTTTCCAGTTTTAGCCACGTTAGCAGAGGCATTCAATTTCTTGGCAACTTTTAGATGAACTGCCACGAAATTAACAAATAATAATAACTTCCATTCATTCAAAACTCTATTTTTTCGAATAATTTAGTACTTTTACTTCGAGCATAAACGGTGCACACGTTAAAAATAGTAGTAAAAAGTCAACATTTCAACCATCCAAAATGTGGCTGTCCTTTCAACGTAGATTAGCTTAGCACGTAGCATATCCAAGTACAGGAAAGGAGAAAGTTGACCAAGGTTGGTTCAACTCTTATTGGAGCTGTCCAAAAGGGGGCGGGGCTTATAAAGGGGCCAATTTCATAATGACATTAATCACATTTAGCTGATACCATGATCCAAATTGGAGCTATATTAATAAACTTGATTTGATTGCAATTAATAAAATTTGATTTTTAAGACATACAAAAAATATATTTTCACCCAAATTGTGGTTAAACATACTTTTAATAAATTATTAAAATTGCAAATTATTATTATTTGGCTTCTTTTTCCCCTGGGGATTCAGTCTACCATTACAAATGTGATTATTTGGCTTACAATGGGCTAATTTCTGCCTCCAAAGCACCCGTATACATGTGCCTAATACACCAATATAATCATTTTATCATCCCAAGTTTGTTTGTTACCATGTTTTTTTTAACTCATTTGGGATACAGAGGACATGTAGCTCATTCTGAACACAGTTATTGTAAGTTAGTGTATTGAATGTAATGTTATATAATCCACATATCATTAAAACTGTAATCTGTTATAGGTTAATCATACTTTCATTTAAAAACATGCCATAAAGTAAACAAATAAAGCTGATAAAAATGAGACAAGGAACCTGTAGATAATTTTAAAGATGCCACAATAAAGTCCCTGTAAACATAAACCATTGATATTAAAGTAAATATATAATCAGTAAACAATCATATAAACTTCACCAAACAACACACTAACCTTTGCCTTTACACCTCCTCCTCCTCTTCCGCTTGGACTTTCCTTTCATATCACGGTCTGACCTCTCCATGTTCCTGCAGCACGTCCCATGTACCTGTGCCATTTCAAAGGTGGGAGGAGGGAGATTTTCTTCTTATTCTTTTTCCTCCCCCCTCAGTAGTTTTATCCTCTGCTGCTTCTTCTCTTTCTTCTTGTCTGAAAAGCAGCAAAAAGAAACCCCAAACCAAAAAACGCTGAGAGAAGATTGAGAGTGCAGCTCTGCAGCGGGGAGCCCAGCACTGTGGCTGACTTCCCCCCCCTGCTGCCGGCTTTAGGAGGCAGGCGGCTGCTCAGCCTGTGACATCATGATGAGGAGGATGAGAGGAAGAGCTTTGGTTCGTGAATCAGCATCTGTAGTTATTAAACATCTAAATAATATGCCACGTTGAATTCATTCAGCTGGTGCTTTTTATTCACAGCGATGTAAATGTGCAGTAGAGTGTAATATGAAAGTATGTTCTCCACTAACGAGTAGTGTAACTAATTAAAAATAACTCCTTACAACAATAATTTTTACTGTTTTCAATTCAGTCACATTCCAGGATTAATTTATGTAGCTAGTTTATATTCAGTAGTTGGTTTCAGTGGTCCAAATTTTGGATTTTCAGTGGTGAAAGTAACTACTCATGTTACTGTTATTAAGTTGATAGATCGCCCCCGAGAATCAGCTGAAGACACATACGACCGACATGTATGAAAATTGGTACACACATGTATCATGATCAGAGAAGCAAAAAAGCCTCTTGGACCCATACCCCAAACCCAACAGGAAGTTGGCTCTTTTGAATTTAGTGGTCATTTTCGGTGATTTTTTTGCTTTGTATTTGAACGAACTCCTCCGAGGGAATTCGGATCGACTTTAAATTTGGTGAGTTAAATCTAAAGACGTTAACAGTTAAAAGTTGTGCCATCTGTGACTGTGCGTTGAGCGATTCGCCATGAAACAGGAAGTTGTCATAACTTTAGGGTACATGTCGTGGTCCACACATTACACCCCAACACGTGCAGAGTGCGAGGGGCCTGATCTTCGCTGCTTGCAGCTTTAATTAAATTGTATGTGATATGATTTCATTCATTATCCACATTGTCAACAAGAAAACAAGAAGATATAACTGTAATCCCACATTTCATTGGTACTAACTTCTTTCTCACTCAAATGTTTAATGCAGAATGCTGAGTCTCATCAGTCAACACCAAATCTATAGTGCCTGGACTAAACATGGCAAATCTCTGGTTAGGTCCTTTAATATCTAAATAATAAACTGATTATTCTTCTTTTATTACATTTAGTAGCAGTTATCAATATGATATGACTGAATCTTGACAAAATATAAAATAATATAATAAAAGAACTAATAAAAAACATGCCCATTATGATTGAACTATTCTGGAAAGTTCAACATTATCCACACATAAATAAACATATCATATGTAGGAGTTATAAATACTGCATGCACCCTGTAATATGCTACATTTACACACATATTAAACATTAAAGCACTAAAATGTGGGTTAGAAACATGCTCCTGCTGTGTCGTTTCTGCAGCAGCAGGAGACAAACTGAGCTTCTGCAGCACTTTTATCTTCTTTGTGTCTCCTGCTTGTTCTGCTGGCTGCAAAACAAACTCTGTGAGAAGATTTGAAATGTTAAAATTAAAACAAAGCAGTGAAATAAACAACAATTGTCGTATGTATTTCCTTTTATGTACGAATTTAAATGAAAAACTGACCATTTTTTTGTCTTAATTAACTGAGTGGAGTTCTTCTCATAATTATCTTATCTTGGTATGTATTTCTGTGTTGCTTCTCTTATTCTTTATTCAATTTTAATGTAAAATTAAAATAAAATGTCCAATCATAGCTTGGGTGCTTTGTGATTTTAAACAATTCATTAAAAAACAGATAAAATAAGATAATTGTCCCTTTAACTGTGATTTTCATTTAATTATGACACGGTACTTCATATTGAATATTCACAGACTCTGTCTATATGTCTGATTCACTGAGGCATTAAAAAAGCTGATCTATGTAAAGTGAAAATAAAACAGCAAAGTCAGATAAAGTTAATGAGTCGAAGTCAGTTGAGGAAGACGATTTGCCTGTGGAGGTCAGAATAAAAACAATATATTAATATTTATTGTTACATTTTTTTTTTTTTCCTAAATCAACCTCTCCATCCAGCTCTCTCTGTTCTTCAGTAATGTATCATTATCTGTCATATATTCCTCCATTAGGAATTATTAGTGAACAGTTAAGCAGTTATCAACTACCTGATTCTTTCCTCACTTGTTTATATATTAAGTATTAATTAACTAATAATTAATTAATTAGATTACTAGTAGTTACTCATTAACTAATTGATCACTTGCAGGTTCCTCATTTGTTCCCTGGTAACTACTTTAAAAGTTCTGTGTCCCTTTTTGTGCCAATTATACACGAGACATGAAGAATATTCAGCGTGTACACAACGATGAAGAGTCGATACAGATTATATAGCGTATGTGACGCTGTCAGCAGTGCGGAATAAGATGCTTTTAACAACCTTAAAGAGGGAAAAATTTGGATTTTAATTGGTGAAAACATCAATAATGACCCACAGACCCATTCGTATGTCAGGCCTTCTGCTCCAGGTTTAACTGTTCACGTTACTATTTTGCATCATAATGCCACTTTTGCATAATCTTCTCCACTTCGCCTTTACTGCTAATTAACAGCTCCCGTTTAATCCCTGCCAATCACCTTTTTCTCGAACTGATAATCTGACTGCGTTACATCCGAACTAAGATCCGAATCTGTTTCGCTCCCCGACACCATTTTATTGTTGCTATCGCCGCATTTCATCACTTCACCCCTCCTCTCTCTCTCCGGCCTGTGCAGTGTTTTCACTCCTCTTGGTTTTGCAGGTTTCCAGTGACTGACTCCCTCTTCAGAGGATTAGCGAGATGCTGCTGCGCCTTCTTTGTTTATCTCCAGGTGTGCGCTGAAGGTGGTGTGCTGTATGGATCGTGCCAAGCCTCTGGGATTCACATTCCTTGTAGTATTTCACCTCACTGACTCCAAAAAGCTCCACTGCTGCGTTCTCGTGTTTTATCTTTGAGCTGTCTTGCTTTTTAACTACACTGTGCAGCACCTTGAATCTACCTTTGTGTGTGAAACCTGCTTTATAAATAAAACTGCCTTGCCTTGCCTCGTACAGTTTCTTATGAAGTGCCTTCAATCAACTTTGGATTGTAAGTAAATCATTGATTTGACTTTTCTTTGGAGGACCTACTTCTAAATCCCCTCTGATGCACGTCATTCAAGTAAAAAATAAGGAATTCTTCACTCAGAATACATAATTATGCAATTGTCTCACCCATCTGTGGGCCAGTATTGATTGCCAGATCGGCTGTTTTTAACGAACTGCTGTTAATTTCATAACGATCTTTACTCTCTACTGGCCCATTTTTGGGGTGAGCTCAACATGCGAGAGTAATAATAATTAGAATACATTTTATTTTTAGAGCTTTTCATGATACTCAAAGGCTCTTCACTTGGAAGGAGTGTGGTGGGTGGAGCCGGTCAGTGAGGTAGGAGTGGGGGGGACCTGGATATGGAGGGCTTTGTTGTGGAGGACAGGGGTGATGTGGTCACAGGTGTGGGTTAATTCCTATTTAACACGTAATTCGAAATGTATTTTATGAATGTAAAAGCAACAAGTTGTGGTTTTTCTGTGAGTTTTGTGCTGAACTGACTTCTTAGTAGCCAAACACAGCGATGTCCTGTTGTTTTGTCATTGTTGCCCCTGTTTTCACTCTCAATACTAAGCTAATATGCTGGATAACTGGCGTACAGACATGAGAGTAATATCAATCTTCTCACTTAACTCTCTGCAAAAATAACACAAACACTGAAAAGAAAACGTTTTATTATTATTATTGATATGCCACAGCTTCATCAGAGGTTTATGTTGGATCTCTGCTCTAATTAGCTGCCTTACTCCTCAACACTGTGAAAGCTTTACCCTGAAGGCTGATAACACCAGAGGCAAACTGATGGATGTGGTTCCCACGATTTAATACCCTTAAAGCATCCATTAATCTTCCGAAACTTTTTTTAAAGTATAATTTTATTTGTCTAAAAGTGAACTTTTCTGGAGTTTGAAGGCTCCTGGGACCTCCGGGAAATAAAGAAAGGACACAAACCACCGCCCCTGCCTGAAAACAGGGTACATGCACGACTGCATTTGATGCTGAAGTGGATGAAGGTGAGCTAGAAATAACATTACGGAGCGTGCACGCAGACGCTCTGGAGAAGAACCTGCAGAGAAGTGTGCAGCTATCTGATGTGAGCATCCATGTGATAGAAAACAAAATATTAGGGCAAAAATAATAACATGTCTATCATCTCCTCCTGCTGTGTCCAGACATCCAAACTGTTACAGGTGAGATAAAGTGGATGTGAGACTCTTAGCATCACGCAGACAAAACAGAGGAGAGGCTATTATTGCGTCTGATGAAAAAACAGATAGATTGTACTGTATTTCAGCCTGTGGCTAAGATCCCACAGGGCACGGAGAATGAAGTGCTCTTCAAAATGAGCTCAACATCCCAGCAAATAGGACACGGGAGCTTCCCTGTGCACTCCTGAGGCCAAACATTATACTGTACATTAGATCCATCTCACTGTTCCTCTGTAAGGAGCCGCTGTCGCTGCAGCAGCCTGCAGGCTCTCACCGGCTTCTTCAGTCAGATTTGGCTGCATGTACGGGACAAATGAAGGTGTGTTGTCATCGGGACATTTGTACAGAATTACCACATTTATGATTTTCTCTCTGTCTCTCAGTCTTCACTTTCTTTGCCTGGTTTTTGTGACATACTGTATGTGTGTTTTTATTGGACTGTTTCCTGTTTGAATAATAACAAAATTTTAGTTTTTTAAAATAAATCCACTATTTTTTTTATAAATCCTCTTCCAAATGATTTTTTTTTTAATTCATATAAAATTAGACAATCTCGATGAAGAGTTTGTGCAGTGCTGCATCTGATTCATGTTGCTGTCAGCCTCTATGTCTTTTTTTGTACG